AATAAAGTGTTGTAATCCCAAACATGCAGACACAATATGGATCTTTAATGAACCGAAAAAGCCAGTCCCAATTAAGGTGTACATAGCCTAGCGGCTCAGTTCCTAGGCTGGAACAAAAACATACACTAGTGATAAGCTGTGTCGCATTTTGGGCGCTGTGTGTAGGGATTGAACAGAACATCACGTCTTATTCTTTAATTAGCAGAAAAATATAAGTATAAGTTTAAAACTCCAAATGTTAACTTTCTCTCCACAGATCAAACATGCTTTTGTTGTCTTGACATTGACCATTAACAACCTGGCATGTTAGAACAACACAAAAGGATAAAATACACCCCAGCATTCAACACAAATTGCTCTCATTATTTTAAAATACATATAGTGATGTTGGTAGAACAAAAACACAAACCGTTAAAGCTTTCAGTAATTTTATTTGATTTCATTTTACAATCCTTTAACTATTCAATACATTTGAATTTACATTACAAATTGTAATACAATGTTTTTATAAGAGTAAATTAAATTAAGTAATTAAAAAAGAATAATAAATTGTGGCTTGTCCTAAATGAAAATTTTTAGGTAGTGATCAATGGCTCATTTCAGAAAAATATTTATTTTTCCATCACGTCTAAGTGGTTTATCTGTTAAATGAACTCATTAAAACAAATAACATTTCACATTTTAATTCCTAAATGAATTTTGTTATGTCTAGTTAAGCTAACTTTGTGACAAAAAATTTTTATGACAAGCAGGAGATTCATGTCTTTTCTCCAGAATAAATATTTTTGTGCAGTAATAAAACTTCCTTTTTAACAAACTTTTTATGACACATTTTACATTTATGTGGCTTCTCTCATGAGTTAAATTTTTAAAGTCTTTTTTTATTTTTATTCTATCTTACATAGGAATGGACACTTTTGTGTCTCCTTAAACAATAATAGTGAGTAAATGTTTCATGACAGACATCACATTTATATGGCTTTTCTCCAGTATGAATTCTTTTGTGTTTACTAATATAATATTTGTTTGAGAACTTTTTATGACAAATATCACATTCATATGGCTTAACTACTGAATGAACTTTTTTATGTGCACTTAAACTAGAACTATGTGGAAACTTTTTATGGCAAACACCACATTCATATGGCTTTTCTCGTGTATGAATTCTTTTGTGTCTACTTAAAGTAGGACTGTAAGTATACCTTTTATGACAAACATCACATTCATATGGCTTATCTTCTGAATGAACATTTTTGTGATGTAATAAATTTATCTTCTGAGTAAACTTTTTATGACATACATCACATTCATGTGGTTTTTCTCCCGAATGAACTTTTTTATGTATACTTAAATTACAGCCTCTAGAAAATCTTTTATGACAAACATCACATTCATGAGGCTTTTCCCCTGTATGAACTTTTTTATGTTGACTTAAACTACATCTGTGTGCATACCTTTTATGACAAATAACACATTCATATTTCTTTTCTAATACCAAATGAACTTTTTTCTTCAATAAATCTGGGTTTAAAGTTCGGCTAGTTGATAAAGTTGCTAATTCTAAATCTATATCTTTAGATGTGGAAAATTCACCAGTTGAAAATGCTGTTGTAACATCAGGTTCAACATCTTGAGAAGTTGTAAATGTAATGTTTTTTACATCATCAAAAGATGAAAAGGTTGATAATTCTGTTTTAATGGTATCTGTATATGAAAATTCTGGTGTAACAACTGGTTTAACATCTTGAGAAGTTATAAATGTCATGTTGGGTTTAATGTCATCAAAAGATGAAAATGTTAAATCTGTTTGTGTGTCTTTAGAAGATAAAAAATCCTGCGTAACATCAGAAGTTATAAATGTCATGTTGGGTTTAACATAAGAATGAACACTTTTGTGTCTACTTAAACTACAATAGTGAATAAATGTTTCATGACAAACTTCACATTTATGTGGCTTTTCTCCAGTATGAATTCTTTTGTGTTTACTAATATAATATTTGTATGAGAACTTTTTATGACAAACATCACATTCATATGGCTTTTCTCCTAAATGAATTCTTTTGTGTGAACTTAAAGTATAGTTTTGAGCAAACCTTTTTTGACAAACATCACATTTGTATGGTTTATCTTCTGAATGAACATATTTGTGATGTAATAAATTTTCCTTCCGCCTAAACTTTCTATGACAAACATCACATTCATGTGGCATATGTCCTGAATGCACTTTTTTATGTGTATATAAATTAGAATTTTGAGAAAACTTTTTGTGACAAACATTACATTCATATGGCTTATGTCCTGAATGTAATATTTTATGTGTAGTTAAACTAGAATTTTGAGAAAACTTTTTATGACAAACATCACATTCATATGGCTTATCTCCTGAATGAATATTTTTGTGATGTGATAAATTTACCTTTTTCCTAAATTTTTTTTGACAAATATCACATTCATGTGGCTTATCTCCTGAATGAACTTTTTTATGTGCATTTAAATTAGCTTTATATGCAAACTGTTTAAGGCAAACACCACATTCATGTGGCTTATCTCCTGAATGCATTATTTTATGTGAATTTAAACTAGAATTTTGAGAAAACTTTTTATGACAAACATCACATGTATGTGGCTTATCACCTGAGTGCTCTTTTATATGTGTATATAATCTACATCGATAAGAGAACCTTTTATTACAAACATCACATATATATGGCTTATCTCTTGAGTGCACTTTTTTATTTTTACTGAAATTACAACTTTGAGAAAGATTCTCATGGTCACCATCATAATCAACTTGCTCATTTCCTTCTTGAGTTGTTTTATGTTTTTTTAAGTTAGAACTTTGAGAAAACCTTTTGTGTTTGACACTAGAAACAATCTGATATCTTTTGTCTCTAGAAAACTGGAGATTTTCTTCAACTTGAAGTTCAAGCCCTTTTTGTTGTTTATCCTCAAAAAATAAAAATCCTGTCAATAATTCTGGTTTTGAATCTTTACTACTTGATAAAGTTGTGACTTCTGATTTGTTATCTTCAGATGTTGATAATGTTGATACAGCAGGCTTTTTATCTTTACAAATTAAAAACTCAGTTATAACATCAGGTTTAACATCTTGCAAGTTAATAAATGTTTTGTTGTGTGTAAATTCATCAAGAGATGAAAAACTTGAAAATTCTGTTTCTGTGTCTTTAGAAGATGAAAATTCTGTTGTAGTATATGGTTTAACATCTTGTGAAGCTGTGAATGTCATGTTGGGTTTTGCATCAACAATAGATGAAAATGCTGTAAATTCTGTTTTTACGTCTTTAGAAGATGAAAATATTGTTGATAGATCTGGTTTCAAATCTTCAGAGTTTAAAAATTCTGTTAATTTGTTTGACTGTTCATCTACAATAGATAACATTACAGCTAAATATTCTGTTTCCTCTTCCATGCTTCTCTGCTTTTTATAAATCAACTGATGAATAAAATTGTTATAAATGTTATAAAAGTGGTGATTTTATAGTCAAAACAAAGTACTATTAATATAATGGCAGAATTAATGGCATAAGGTGTGTTGATCTTTTCACTCACTTTTCACTCAATTTGATGTGATCTAAAAATACATTACCAGTATTGCCAAAGCTATCAATTGTTCAGGATTACAAATTAATATTCTTTATATTTACTTCAAATACGCAAATTTTACAGTATTGATTATTTTAGCAAACGATAAATTACCCAATGTGCTTAGATATCCAGTCAAGGTTATATATATTGTCAATTGGTTGACAGGAAATAAGAAGAGTGTTTATTTCCTTGAAAGGATTTGAGAAGATGTAAGCAATTTGCATATTTTCTCTTCCATAAAACTTAATTAAAACAATGACAATTCTACATAAAAAGTAGATTTTCTATGCCATAAAATTGATAAAAACTTGTTTCATTAATTTAATTTTATAGACTTCTAGCCTATATAAAAATATATTATGGCATAGTTCTGAGAATAGTGTAGACCTACAATTTAACCTATGGGTAAGTGTCTAGTACATAAGGACTTGATTCTAAATCTGTCCTAACACTAACATTTAAATCACAAAACTATAGGTTCCTTATTTTAAATGAAAACAGGTTTGTTAAAGAATAAAGATAATGTAGCAAATAATAGGTAAGGTTATAAGAAAAGAACAGAAATTGAATTAATGATTAAAAGTGTGTGGGTTTTATTTCTAATAATAAAATTAGAAAATTTACCCTAAATATTTCAGACAATTATCTTTTTGGCTGAAGTTATGCAAAAATGTCAAATGACACATGTGACTGTTTACGCATGTAGGTGGTGTGATAGTCCATCAAGAACTATAAATAATTTTTTTTTTAAATTGTGATTAGTATGCAGATCTAGATCTAAATCTAAGTGTTTATAGTGCAGTGTAAATAAAAATATAGGAAAATCGTAGAAAAAATATTGGAGCTTTAACAATGGATAGCGAGCATCTGCTGTGTTTTAAACTGAGGCATGATCATGTGACCCATAAGAAAAATTGCTTAAGTCCACTATAAATACATATTAAAACAAATTTAATGGACCAAACCGAGAATAGTCTAGAAAGGCCCATCAATTATTTTAATTTGTTTTAAAATCATGTATTTGTAGGCACAATGTTACAAAAATAAATAGAGTTATAACAAAATGTGACTGATTTTTGTTGGATTTTACTAAAGATTGGATGTAGGGCCTATTTGAAGCTTTTAGCATTTACAAAAACTAAACAAAAAAAAAACTGAAACAATTTGTTGGTGTACATTTAATCACTGAAAATGACAACAAACATGGCTGCACTAAGTTCTATGGTTGAAAACATTTTTTATTTAGGCCCCTAAAAATTGTATTGACTTAAATAATTGACAAAGTTTTGAGTACAAATTAAATACTAGATTCTATAACTATAACATTTTTATTAAGTGTAATTTTGACAGTATCGATCTCAGAGACCCATACAGCCAATCAAGATTTGTCTTACAAAAGTGAAACTTCTGAGTTATAAAACTTTAATAGATCTAGATCTAGAGAATCTAGACTAGTGTCTTAGATCTAGAAGTGTAACTTAGAGTGACTCCTTAACTGGCTTAACTTAAATTTTAGTAATGGCCTCTCTCTATTAAGTCTATTACTGACTGTTATACTATTACTATTATTATTTATTAGGCCTAACTCTATTTCTTTAGGACTTTTTAGTTTTTAGGCCTAACAAAAACATTTTTAATTTTTAGCATTTTTAGGAGGATTTATTTATTATTTAGCTCTATCATTTATGTTTTAAAATTTACAATAGGCCTAATCATATAGATCTATATTATATTATTATAATATATATAATTCTCTTCTGGGAGCCGTTAGAAAACAAGCTGCAAGCTACCACCCCCCACCCCCTCACATGGTTTGGTGAGTTGTGGTTCACGCTGTTTACTTTTTACAATTATAGAGACGGGTTAGGTGACGGCTATTAGGGGCAGATAATTTAGTTTGAAACGATTTTAAACTTAGAGGAGTTAACTAAGAGGAGGCTGCTTTCGCGGGGGGGGGGGGGGGGGGAAGGGGGTTTAGTGTTTTTAAGCAAATATTTTCAGTGGCAGCATTGGTACTGTCGAATTAACAAATTATAAATTACTGAAAAGTAGAAAAAAAAAACTAAATAGCGGCGTATGATACGCAGCGGGTCGGCTCGTATTATTATAATAATTATAATTAGGCCTAGGCCTATATAAAATAAAATATAATTTGTAGGCCTAGGCCTAATCAATAATGATAATGAAATGTTTCAATTGTTTCAAAGTTGCATCCTCCATGTAGATCTAGATCTAGTATTCTAGAATCTAGATTTACCTGTTTTCAAAAAACTGTATTAAAACTTTTCTGTGTAATGATTAAAGTAGACTAGCGATGTTTTCATCACATGTAACCATGCTCATTTACTGACATTTTTACTATTTACTTTAGCAGCCATCTTGTTTAAGATTTTTTTATGCTTAGAGATTCAGGGGAAACCACTCTATTTTACAGATTGCTGCTGTTAATTTCTAATTAACGTAGCAAATGCTGCTCGCAAACACTGCTGTTTAAAGTTAACTAGAATACCCGTCATCCGTTGGATAACTGTGGGTTTCGGGGGTCATCCATCAAAAAACATCACGTCTGTCACTCAGAGGCATAGCGACCCTTCCCGGCGCCCGGGGACAAAGTTTTCGATTTGAACCCCCCCCCCCTCAAACTTTTGATGTGCAATTCCCCCCCCCCCCCCCCCACTCAAACTTTCGATTTGAACCCCCCTCAACCTATCAATTTATTTTTCCAAACCATTTTGGCGCCCCAACATATGTCCCCCCCCCCCTTCCCCCTCCACCTCCCCACCCCCGCCTCCCCTTCCCCCCCCCCCCCCCCGCCTCCCCTCCCCACCCCCCGCCTCCCCTCCCCTACCGTCCGTCCCCCCCCCTCCTCGGTACGCTACTGCAGTGTCACTTATCGTCACAAAAAACAGACCCCACATTCAAATATATGTTTTTTATCTTTTAAAAACACCGAAAACACCGATTTCGGACTATCCCTTCATAAACTGACGTCACAGGTGACCTACTCAACTCTACTTCACCTGCCCAGTGTCCTGCCAAGTCTCAGACAACATGTTTTTATCGTTTAAAAAACAATTCCAGCCGAGCATGTATCTGACCACACTATCCTTTCATATGCTTAGGACAAAGAAACAGATGAACTCTACTTCACCTGCCCTGTATCTTGCCAAGTTCAGATAGGCAACGTTATCATTCACATCTAAAAAAAAAAATGAAAAAAAAAATTTCATTGACATATTGGTCTAGAACCCGTGCCTCCTGCATGAGAGCTGACTACGCTACCATTTTAGCTATTTACTCGTGACGTCACAAGTGAATTTTTATACTATACTATGTGTCTCCTTATGCAACTTGATTTACGCGTATAAATTCTAGATCTAGATCTAAAAATAAGTCTAGTAGTACTAACTTTCAAATTAAATTTTATCTTAAATAAGCCAAACAAAGATTTATATAAAATAATTAAGGCCTGAAATAGATTCTAGATGTAGAATTTACATTGAATCTAGTGACCTACATCTAGGCTAGATCTAGATCTAGAATCTAGATCTAGGCTAGATTCATAAATTTCCTTTGATAGCTGATCTTTAGATCTAGAGAAATTTATCGTAAAACTAAATGAAAAAGACAGTTGAAAATTGATATAAGTGTTGGAACGTAATAAATACAGCAAAAGGACGTATTGTTTAAGTTATAGCCGGCAGAAAATTAGCTTTGTAACGCGTTAAACTTTTGAATGGGCCACAAAGTCTATGATGGGGTCCGCCATTTTTATTGTACCAAAAATGTAAACACATCAAGGGACGTCACTATCCCCACAAAGTTTATTCAAAGTATTAACATTTTTAAAAAAATACGGTTAATTTAACTATGAATAAATCAATAAATTAATTAACGTCTTTAAATAAATTTGTGATCAACAGTCTGTCTGCATTAAAAAATTATTCTCTACCTGCATACTATTTTACAGCTTTCCAGATAGAGTCGAACATATCACAATAGTCGATCAGGCAAACAAATAAATATTCAAACATGTAAACAAAGTTGAGTTTTAGTAGTATATAGATGTCTGGCCTATATTGATCTATTTAGTATTTGGTAAAACCTTAGCGATAATTTCCGACGCTAAACTAAGGTTTTACCTAGTATTTAGCCATTGATTTTGGTTTATTATTCAGTAATCTATAATATTTGACACAAATATATTACAATATAGGCAGTGGCGGAACTAGAAAAAATGGGCCACCTCGAAAAAAATTTTTTTGGGCCCCCCATATATGTATATATATATATATATATATATATATATATATATATATATATATATATATATATATATATATATATATGTATATATGTATGTATATATATCTAATATATAAAGCTCAGTTCTGTATGTAATGCATTTGTATGTCGTTGTAATTGTATGAATTTAAGTGTTAGAAAATTATCGTGCGCATTTGTCTAAATTTATGAGCTAAAAAATTACCATTGAAAGTGTTGGGAAATCATTTTCATTTTTCAAAGTACAGTAATAATTGTCGGCATGTTCATTAAACACAAGTTTAAAAAAAATATCATCTTTTACAAAAATTCTAATTATGTCTTTATTTAGTCCTATAGCACTTACTTCCCTTTGATAAATTAGGAAAACAAAATTACTTCCCTTTATAAAACCATTGCATTAGTCGAAAATAATTTACTTTTTAATTACTTTGTTTTGGTGTTGGGAAAAAAAATAATTACATAATTAGCGGGGATTGATCAAGTGCAAATGTTGTAGGTATTTTACGGATAAGCTTGGAGTATTAAAATTGTTCATCAAATTGAAACAGGCGCGTTCGTTTAAGTGAGTGCAAAAGACTATGAATAAGTTGGGGTACTATAGTCGTTCATTAAGCTAAAACAGGTGATTCCGCCCCGGGCGTTTATGTTCGCGTTAGTGTTTTCTTTGTGTTTAGGTGGGTTTGCGTTAGTGGTTGCGTTTTGATTTGGTTCGTTTTTGTTCTTTCTTTTTTCGTTTTTGTTTGTGTTTTTTTGTTTGGGTTTGTATTTGTGTTTTTGGTTGGTTTTGCGTTTGGATTTGGTTTGTTTTCGTTTGCTTTTTCGTTGTTTTTTTTTTTTTTTGTTGGTATTGGTGTTTGTGGTTGGGTTTGTTGTTAGGTTTTTGTTTTCGTTTGCTTTTTTGTTTGTTTTTTCTTTGTGTTTGTATTGGTGTTTGTGGTTGTGGTTGGGTTTGTTGTTAGGTTTTTGTTTTCGTTTTTATTTGTAATTGTGTTAGCGTTATGTTTGCGTTTTGTTATTTTGGTTGGTTGTGGTTTGGGTGGGCAATGCCGGGTTTATGATGATTACTAAACACACAGGTAATGGTCTTTAACAGAAAGGTTTTTCACAGAAGCCAGAGCAGGGCCTGGCCGGGACGGCTAGTATATATATATACATACACACACATACAAACACAATACGAATATAGGATACTCCTTTCTAGCCTGATCGGGTTTTGAAAAAAAAATTCAATTAAATCTAATCGCAACAGCATGTCATGTGTATGAGTGCATTGGTCTGTTTTGAAAATCTCTGTTTTCATTTATGATTAATACTTCTAATCATTAAGTCGGTTAAAAGTATATGAAGCTTTGTATAAGTAATGGTGTCTCGTGTTATGTTTATTTTTATGTTATTTTTTTGTATTTATATTATTAACTTTAACTACGTTTCATTTTTATACTATACCATTCTTTAGTACTTATTTTTTTAAAAATTATAATTAAGATAAGTAATTGCTTTTTAATTTGATTATTAAAAATCTATTAAAAAGAGCTTTTGAGCACCCCTATTTGACTATTTGAAAAAGGGAAATAATTTATGGAAATGGTTTGAACGTTTGCCTATCTTTCACACTACAGCTGTGTTTATTATTTTTTTATTTTTTTACGCAACAGCATGTCTTAGCTACTATATAACATCACTACTGTATTAGATCTGTATTCTGTTTGTTACTTACAAAACCACTATCAAGTTGCCAGTGACGAAACTAATATATATATATATATATATATATATATATATATATATATATATATATATATATATATATATATATATATATATATAATCTGTATCTAAACAGAGTAATTTAGTCTACTTCATTGCAATATATAACCATTCTGAGAGAACAAACTAGACACATTTTTGTTTTGTTCTTTTTTCTTTCATTTTTAACTGGTCAAAAATATATAAAGACGTAAGCTTAATTCGTGAATGGTTTCTCGCGTTATGTTTATTTTTTTCATTTTTGGCTTTTATAATATCAATTTTGAAAACATTGATTTTTATATCTATACCATTGTTTAGTACGTCTTATTTAAATAACAATTCAGAGAATCAATTGCTTTTTACTATACATAGTACAAAACTATGTAAATGAGATTCGTGGGCATCCCTATTTTAAAGAAGGGCAGTAAGTCATGGAAGTTGTGTGAATGTTTGCCTACCTTTCAGACTATAGCCCTTGGAGATTTTAAAATATTCTTCTACGTAACAATCTCTGCTATAGTAGACCTGTTTTTTTTTGTTTTTTTTTACAAAACCACTTTTAAGATGCATGGAAAACATAATTTTTGAAAAAAAAATTCATTGTTTTTTGGTTGGAAATGGGCCCCTAAACGTCCTGCCCCCCCCCCCCCCCCCGCACTGCGGGGTCTGGCGGTATGGTAGTTCCGCCCCATATAGGCCTACTTCTATTAATTTAATAGAAGTATTAAAGCATTAACAATGGGGCAACTTTTCTTTACATTTCTACGCACCTAGTTTCTAGATCTAAATGTAAAATTCTAAAACGATAGGGCCTAGATTTTTTTATTATTATCATTAGTCCTATTTTGTCGTCAACGCGTGGCTCTATCTCTCTCTATGGGTGTCAGTGGGCATTTGTTCGAGGAAAATTCGTCATTAATTTATATACCACTCTGAAATTATGGGATGCCGACCTTAATGGTAAGTTCTATTGGGGGGAAGGAGCCACAGCACGAGTCACACGAACTCAGTGGTGAATACTAATAATTACTAGATCTATCACATGAGCGTGATGGAAAATTTCTTGTTTAAACCACGGACCACTCAAGGCCATTTAAATATTCATAAAATCAAACAATTTAAAAAAGAAGACCTGGGTAGGTCACAAAGTTTTACCTCTCAATTGTTCCCGTATCAATTTAATTTCTCCAGCTATTCGAGCACACACAAATATAAACGATCATAAAATGTAGATAAAAGAAAAATCCTTTAAAAATTGTTCAATACACAAATTTCAAGTAGCTGAGAAAACTAAACCATCTATAATAACTGATATTTGCAGAGACTACTTGCAAAACCTGATAAGCCCACTTAAAAAAAATAAGTTGATTTTATAGTCTTTTTTAAAGGGTTAATTTAAGTAGAATACTAATTTTGTTCAAAAGGGTATACATTAAAGCAGTCACCCTTCAAAACATGTAAATGTTCCAATGTTAGGTTTAATTATTGCCCCATTATTATGATAAAATTTAAAAAATTATACATTAAGAATACATTTTATGGAAAATTGTATTTGTATACATTCTCAAACACCAGTCAGCCCAGGTAATAGTATATGATGCTTAATGAGCACATAGGTCACAACCATTTACAATTAACATTAACCTCAAATGCCAATGCAGGGCCTGGCCAGCACAGCTAGTATATTCTAGATGGCATGGCTAGTATATACACACATATAAATGCACATATACATGCCTATTGATTATGAATAAATAGAACAATTAACTGACATAAATATCCAGTCTATGGTCTATTTGCTTTAAAACAATATGTATGTATAATTGTACAAAAAATACCAGCAAACCAAATGTGTTTAATTTGTTTCAATCTTCATTAATTCATTATGTATTTTCATATAAAGAATATTTCTCTACAGACAATGAAACAGCCATTACAAATTACATTTTCAGCTTTGTAATTTTTCTACTTTTACTTTACTTGTTTCTACAAATTCTTATAAAATTGATAAAACTAAGTCAGGTTTAACACCACTCTTAAATTAATTACTGGGGACGGAGTGGTCTAGCGGTAGAGAGCTGTATGCGAAATTACTGTTTCTTTCTTAGAAAGATTTCATCTAATTATCACTGTTTGTTGTTACCATCACTAAGAGTTATTTTTACTTTCGCTAATTTTTAATTTATGATTTTTGTTTTCTTTAAATTAATGTGTATTTTAGTTTACATATATATGGTTAATCTTGAAAGATTATCTCAAAATTCTATGCTGAACAAACTATTAACTCCTTTACCGTGTGTCACGAGTAAACTGGTCATATGAAATCCTTGGCTTAACCATACATCACAAGTTAACTGGTCATTGGTTATAAAAGTCGACTGTATGCCGTGCACTAGCTCATTTTGTTACAAAAAAAAAGCTTTGTAAATCAATATCTAATCTAACAGCCAGCTCAAACTAATCTAACAGCCAGTTCAACGGCTGATGATAAAAATAGGTTATCTTGTGATATCAAAAGTGAAAGTGAGAAAGGTACAGGCTTTGGGGCATCACAAGAGAGTAAAACACACAGGAGAATTTAAAACACATTGGCCTCATTGGAATAAATGTTAACATACAGAAAGTGTTGTTAGAAAAAACATAACAATAAAAATTGACAAACACGTTAGTCATTTTATTTCATACAATTTTCATGTTACAATTACCAATAATTCACATATTAGAATTTTCATTGCAATGTTTTTTTTTATTAGGAGGCGTCCATAAAGGACGTCAAACTCATGGAGGGGGGTCCGTAATATTTTGATGATGTGGAATGAGCGGGGAGGGGGGGGGGGGGGTTCAGCTTGTGTGATGTCACACTTTTGCATCATAAAAAGCAATGTTATAAAGCGAGTTTTAGCCATTATTTCGCATTTTAAAAAACTGTTTTAATAAATTGTACCAGTAATCGATTAATATACTCTATGTTGACAGAGTTCAGACAAGATTTTTCAAAAATGTCGACGTTTTAAGAAAAACAACTACAATTTTGAGGGCGTTTGTAGGCTGAGGAGTGACTACATTTTAGGGGGGGGGGGGGGTGTGGGGGGTGGTGGTCTGGCTTTTTGTGACGAGGTGTGGCGGAGGCGAGAGGGGGAGGTAAATATGGGCCAAAAAAGCATGACGTCATTTATGGATGAATACAAAATTAAATAACAACTAAACCAAAAATTAAAGATACCAAAATGTAACAATTGCAGCTTTAGTCTCTCTTTTCTTCAAATTGATAATTTTTATTTATTTGTGCTGTTTTAAATTAAATATTTATTTATGTAATTGTTATGTGTGGTTAATCTCTAAATCCTATATAAATATGTGAAGAAAATTACTGTGAATTATTTTTAAACAGCTAGCATGTAGAGATGTGTCTGAGATTTGGCATAAAGTTCATATTGAGTAGGAGTGCAGAAAGATAAAATTGATATATAACATGTTACAAAAGCATTTAATTAAATTTAAAAAAAAAACTTTTATCTAGCAAAAGTAAGGAAGTGAACATGAGCCTTAACAATGGTTGGACCAAATTGAAACTTGAGGTTATTTCCATAAGACATGTAAATAGGGGAGGGGAGATTCCAAAATGGGATTAATAAAATAATGTCAAACAATGAACATAGAAGTTTTTAATTTATTTTTCACCAAATAAGTTTGTTGGCTATAGAAACTTAATTGCATCATTTTACTGATCAGAACAGAAACTTAAGTACAAAGTAAGCATCAGTCAATGGAACAATAATAAGCATCTTTTTATACATCTTAACATCTTATACATTTTAACTGGATCTGCACACCATAAAGAACTTAGTTCCTAGTACAAATGTAATTTATCCAGGTACTAATTTACCACTTAAAATTCAATCTCAATTCAATTTACTATAATATCTGCATTAGTGATGACAATATATACATCTCAAAGATTAGAATTTCTCTGGGGCAGCCAGTTTTTACATAAGGTCTGTGTGAGTTATACATAGCAGCCAGTAGAGTTTGATAATAAGATTTAAGATTCTTTACCTATCAACAGAATGATTAAAGTATTAAGGACATATTGCAAAAGATGAAAAAGTTTTTACAAAAGAATATTGTCAGCTCAAAAGTTTTGATGTCTCTGTAGGACAGTGTTTCTTCCAGACTTTTTTCTCTGGGAGGGGGGGGGGGGAGGGATGGCAGACACTGGTAAAAGTATGTTTTTAGTGTGCGCACTGATGCCTGGAAGAAACTCTGCTGTAGGCCTACCTGTTGGCCAGATGCCACTGTAACTGCCGGCCTGATGTCATTGTACTTGTCTAATGCAGGTTGTTTTACCTCTCAACCTGATATTCTGTCATGTTGCTGTATGTCTGACTGAGCTGTTTGTGAGTAGTGTAAATGTGTTAAGCTGTAAATGTGTAAAGTTATGAATGTTATTGTGTTACAGCACTTATATTGTAAACATTTAGTAAATGTAAATAAATGCACTGAACTCAAACTTTGTGTTTTATTTTAGTTAGCTTCTGTTATTGTTAATGTGTGTAACTGGTTAGTGCAGATTTAGTTAACTTCCTTGTCCCAATGAATGTGCATTGACAATTTGATATAATTTGAAAAAAAATAGGCAATTAACTGTGTGGCCTGAGCAAAACCATTCGGGTATAAAAAGAAAACCCTGGGTTTCTAAAGTTATAGCTTACTTCTCCTACCATACATATTTACAAATACAAAAAGAAGAAAAAATTGTAGACATGCAGCTGACATAATAGAATACAATTTCTTTTTATAGTCATAATACAGTAATTGATGTGGTATACCAGGGGTCAGCAACCTTTTTTTTAAAGAGCCACTAGCATTTTTATTTCATTATTATGGCATTTAATCAGGATTAGGTTAATAAATGTAATTTTTATTTAAAATAAATAACTTAATAAATAAAATGATATTAATATAGAATCATACAAATGTCTCGAGTAAAACATTAAAGTATTTTAGCTAGCTCTGTTCTGATAAGATTAGTAATCAAATAATATAACTATTTTAGAAGAAACCATTTTAGAAGCTAATACATTTTTTGTCTTTATGGACATCACTAGCTCAAGAGGTGTCTCCTATTAGCCAGGCAGGCCTCAACACGAGAAACTCGCTAACTGGCTTGGATATTAGTTTGATTACCGAATCTGTCACTTCTGTCTTTCGGTTCACATCTGACTTACCTTCCACCCTACTTGTACCCCACCGTCCAGTACCCGAATCAACCATAGGAAGCTAATAACTAAAAACAATGTCACTCAGGTCTAATTAATGCATACTGAAAGATAGAGAAATGCATCATTAATAAAATAACATTCACTATTGAAAGTTATTTGAAAACGTCGGGGGCAGTGGCAAGCATGGAATTGTCATCACTGGGCTGGCTACAGCACGGCTGTGGGGCTGGGTGCCCAAGCGGCTGTCAGCTGTCCGTAAATTTTCTACCACACCTACTATCATTGTTCTCTGAGTGTTTTTATCCCGTTTAAAGTTGTTGTTTTTTTTACAGTATAATAGTTGTTAACAGTTTTGAAAATGAAATAACATGGTGTATGGAACTCAAGACAAGAGCCACATCTTGATACCAAAATAGCTGCATGCAGCTCAACGCAAGCCGAGCCCTGTAGCATACTCTTCCACAAAAGAACCTTTTCATAATACAAATATAAAAATTAATAAACTATGGCCCACTATTGGATGACCCTAGTTAAAGTTATGTGAAGAGAAAAAATAATAAAAGGATACTTAATAATAATAATTTGCTCTAGAATTAATTATTTTTGTTGAAAAATTATTTAAATGGGTGTTAAGTCATGATGAATTTCCTAACTTACCACAAGAATGAATTATTTATGAGTATTAAAATTAGAAATATGAGAAAATCTTTTGTAACAAACATCACATTCATGTGGCCTCTCTTCCTGATTGATTTTTCTAATGTGCATTTAGATTAAGACTTTAAGAAAATCTTTTATGACAAATACCAGATTAATGTGGCTTGTCTCTTGAATGACTTTTTCAAGTGCACTTAAATAAGAACTTTGAGAAAATCTTTTATACATACATATGGCTTATAACCTGTAAAAACATATATCATAACAAATTATTCTTCTGAGTCAACTTTTTGTGACAAATATCACATTCATGTGGCTTCTCTCTTTTATGAATTTTTTTTTAGTAAAGTAATTTGAGAAAACCTTGGATATCAAACATTACATTCTTGTGGCCTTTATCCTGAATGAACCTTTTTATGTCTTAATAAATTAGAACTTTTAGAAAACCTTTTATGACAAACATCACATTCATATGCCATATCTCCTGAATGAACCTTTTTATGAGTTCTTAAATTAGAAATTTGAGAAAACCTTTTATGACAAATATCACATTCATGTGGCCTTTCTCCTGAATGAACATTTTTATGTGCTCTTAAATAAGAATTTTTAGAAAACCTTTTATGACAAACATCACATTCATGCGGTTTATTTCCTGAATGAACTTTTTTATGTTGTCTTAAATTAGAACTTTGAAAAAATCTTTTAAGACAAATATCACATTCATATTGCTTATCTTCAGAATGAACTTTTTTATGACATAATAGATCCTTTACATCCACAAAGATTTTATGACAAACATCACATATATGAGGCCTCTCTCCTAAATGAACAATTTTATGTTGTAATAGAACATTCTTATCCCTAAATTTTGTATGACAAACATCACATTCATGTGGCCTTTCTCCTGAATGAACCTTTTTATGTAGTAACAGACCTTGCTTCCGCAAAAAGTTTTTATGACAAACATCACATTCATATGGCTTATCTCCTGAATGAACATTTTTATGTTTTCTTAAATAAGAACTTTGAGAAAACCTTTTATGACAAACATCACATTCATATGGCTTATCTCCTGAATGAATATTTTTATGTATATCATAGTTAGATCTTTGAGAAAACCTTTTATGACAAACATCACATTCATGTGGCCTTACTCCTGAATGAACATTTTTATGTTTTCTTAAATAAGAACTTTGAGAAAACCTTTTATGACAAACATCACATTCATATGGCTTATCTCCTGAATGAACATTTTTCTGCATATTAATACTAGAACTTTGAGAAAATATTTGATGACAATGAACAATCTTATTTTTGTCCCTAGACAATTGTAGATTTTCTTCAAGTCCATTTTGTTGTTTGTCCTCAAAAAATAAAAATTCTGTAGCTAAATCTTGTTTTAAATTTTCAGTAGTTGACAATTCTGGTTTTAAATTTTCAGCTGTTGAAAATACTGCTGTTGCAACAGGTTTCTTATTAATTTTTTCAATTGAAAATGTATTATCAGGATTAAAATTTTGAGAAGTATTAAATGACTTGTTAGGTTTTATATCCTGGAAATTAAAAAATGATAATTCTGGTTTTATGTCATTAGAAGAAGAAATTTCTGGTGTAACATCAGGTTTAACATTTTCAGGGGTTTTAAATGTCATGTCAGGTTTTATATCCTGGAAATGAAACAATGTTGATAATTCTGCTTTTATGTTTTCAGAAGAAGAAAATTCTGTTGTAAAATTAGGTTTAACATCTTGAGGGGTTTTAAATGTCATGTCGGGTTTTATATCCTGGGAATTTAAAAATGTTGATAATTCTGTTTTTATGCCTTCAGAAGATGATAATACGATGGTTGATAGATCTGGTTTCAAATCTTCAGAAGATGAAAATTCTGTTAATTTATCTGAATGTATTTCTACAATAGATGAAACTGCAGCTAACACATCTGTTTCCATCTCCATGCTGGACAGCTCCTCAGAAATGAACTGATGATTAAAAAAAATGTAAATGTTAAACCAATGTAAATGTTAGCCAAAACAACTTATAACTAATAACATGGCAATATTTGCAACACATACCAGACTTTTGTAAATCTGATTACTAATGATTACTTACTAAGATTTGATATGAAAATAGATAACCAATAATGCAAATCCATAAGGACTGCAGAATAATATCTTGAGCTACCAGTTTTTTAAAATTATTTTTAAAAACAGAAATACAAAGATATTAACAATAACAAAAATCAAAACTTGATTTGCTGTTGTTAGTTTTTAATTGTAAATCATCTTCTTCTTCTTCGTTCTTAATTTTTAGTGTTGGAAAGGATCGAGCCTTATCTGCAAGAGGGTTTGAACTCGAGACTTTTTTTTGAATCAACCATGTGCTTTTGCCGACTCGACCATGCCTCCATCACAATTAAGGATACGTGTCAACTGGTTATGCACCATTGAGATTTTTCGGTTTAGCAACCATGAGCTTTACCGACTCCACCACGCAAACCCCGTTAATTGTAAATAATAAGTGCTTAATCTTATCCAAATATGTAATAAAAGTTTTAAAATTAAATTTAATTAAATTTGTATTTTGTGATAAACAGCTTAATAAACACTTGCTCTCTTCAGGTAGCTTGGCACTAATTTGCACTAAATGTTTTTTAGTGTGACAGAATAGGACTTGTAAGTTCTTGTTCTCTCTCACTTAAATTCAAGTCCTGTTAGCCGGGGAGAGAGAAAAATTTGAACCAAATCAATTGTTGTGAACGGGACTCCTATTTATGACAAAAAACATGGTGGCTTCAAGATTTAAAAATCATAAAAAGTTGCCAAAAGCAACATTTGCAATAATTTTCAACGCTTTTTTATTTGTATGGCAGGGAACAAAGATATGTGCATGCATAAAAATTTTGTGGCGGTTAGTATATGGATTTATTGATTTATTTTTTCGAAATAAGTATAACAGTAAAAATATATAGGCATATAATTCTAGTGAAACGCGTTCCAATGGTTAGTGTAATATAATCAAAAAGATACAGCAAACAAAAAGGTAGCTGATATATTAAAGGGAATTTTTTTTAACATGCAGTAAGCTTCTTTAAAAAAAATTGCAATTTAACATAGGCTTTATTTTTATTCAAGCTACCTTACATCTAGTAGTCTATCATTATCAGTGTTTACGATTTAAAATAACAGTAGATTTACCAGAAGCAACCATTCTATTAATTCCAATTAATTAGAATATTCAATTTGGTTTGAAAAAAAAAAACGCAAGCTGGCAAGTATCAAAACGAGAACTTGGTACACATCTTTATAAAATTTACAAGTCCTATTAGCTTGCAATGTTTTTGTAACTGACATAAAATAATTAAACCAAGTTACTTCTATTTAACTTATAATTAATACATTCAGTTTAGAAATATAAAAAATGATAATCGATGAGGAAAACTTCGGTGTAATACATTCAGTTGCGAGGTATATGACATGAAATGACATTTAAAAAGTCTTAAATTATTGGATTTCGGGCGTGGCATACATTTTGTTTTCATCGAGTATATAATAAAATTATAAAATTAATAAAGGTAATAACAAAACGGCATTATTGAGCGGTGATCTTTTGCACAGGTCACATAAAAGAATAATTAAAGGTTAATTCATTAATTGTGATATGTTGGTATAAAAGTATAAAATTAAGACTTTTAAAGACAAGATGCACATATGCTGGTATCTAAGGTCAACTGTGCTTAAGAAGTACATGATGTAAACACAAAGAATGTGGGGTATCATACCCTAGCGGTAGAGCACTACCATGCTAACTTAGGGGCCTACTGGATCCGAATGTATTTATAAGAGATTATTAGTCCCCCAATATATGAATAGGCTACGGAATGATTTTGCCGATACCTGCTTTTAGAATGCGTCCTACGGAATTAAAAAATGCTAGGAACGATCAGCGTCACTTTGTTTTTTTTTAACTAAAAACCCCTTGTAATAGTAGTAGGCATAATACTTATTATTCACGCACAGCTAGTTCCATAGAATTTATTACATTTATAAGCCTATATGAAATTTTTAAAAATACCATTGTAAAGTTCTTTAAAATGATACCTTGTTTTTAAACAGCTATACTCTATAGTTGTCTATAGGCTACTATTTCAGAATAATACAAAATAGTAAATAAATAGGCCTACTATTTTTCTTTAATTCAATGGACGCGAGCCTGTAGGTATTCGAGAGGTCCATTAAATATTTTTTAAAATCATACACGACATAGTTAAGATTAATATGGTTATAAAATCCTGTCTGGGTTTTTTCAGACTTTACTAAAGATTGGATGTATTTGATGTTTTTAATATTTTGGGTAACTAAATAAAAATGTAAAAAGCAAATATTATTTGGTTTTCACGTGTAATGGCGACATAAACAATGGCAACCCGCTATTCGATAAATTTTATTGTACACATTGTAAGCGAAATAAAAGGAAAACTAGGTCATGGGGTTTAAGTTTGCATTGTTATTTAAAAACTTTATCTGCAAAGTTTTGTAAACAAATAGTTATCGATCATGGAGTTCCTGTACAGCCAATCAATATTTGTCTTACGAAAGTAAAACATCCAGTTATAACTTAGGCTTGATGAAAATAAATAGAAATGTACTACTTTAAACTCAACAAATTATTTTCAAGTTCTCTGGATTTGCAACTTTAAACAAATTAAAGCATTGAATGATTCTATTTCTAAAAATATAAAATTTCTTAATGCAAAAATGCTCATTTACTTTAGCAGCCATCTTGTTTGAGATTTTTCAGGCTCAGAGATTCAGGGGAAGCCACTCTATTTTACGGGTGTTGGGAAATTGCGAGACGCGAAAAGCCTTTATAGCCCTCTCTCTTCTTCGCAATCGCATTAAAAAATAAACCGGGAGTGATCTCCCCTAAACTTTCTCGAATATTCTTATATAAAATAACAGGGGATGGGAACTCGGACATGATTTTTAATCCATTTTAAATACTTAAAGTTTTAAAAATAGAATAAAATCTCGTAGACAAATTAATTGCACACCAAGTGAACGCCAAATAAAAAAGCGCATAATAGTGCGCAATATTATTATTACTTTTAAAATTTACATTAGTTTTTTGAGAAATCGGAAATAGCGTAAAGTACTACTTCCAGTCAACGGAAATGACTCAAAATTTAATAGAAGGTAGAGAATTAGATCTTTTACTTAAATATGAAATTTCATTTACCTATCTGAAATAGTACTCAAGTTATAGGCTTTTGAAAAATTCAAAGTAGGAAAAGTACCACTTCCGGTTATCGGAAATCGCTCAAAAGTTGATACGGATCTACGATTTTGATAAATTACTTATATATGAAATTTCATCAACCTAGCTGTAACGGTACTCAAGTTATCGTGTTTACACACGGACAGACAGACAGACACACAGACAGACACACAGACATACGGTTCAAGATTGCAAAATTATGTTTTTCCGTATCAGTGAGGTGTGAAACGTCGAGATTTGTAAAAATCTCGATTTTATTTTTTGCACGATTACAAGACTTTCTCTATACTTCGTTTATACGAGAAAGTAAAAATTGCTAATGTGGTCGGGGTCAGTATCGTACGCGGGGGGGGGGGGGGGCAGGAGGAGCGGCCGCTCCCCCTCTGGCCATTTTCAGCAAAGTGGAGCCTTTTTGGAAACTTTTAAAACTCAAAGTTTTAAACAATGATTTTTGTTAAAAAAAATATTTTTGGTCGGCACATCTATGTAAATCACAAGATTTCTTTTCATGCAGCAATTAAGCATTATTGTACTAGTCTAGTAGTGTCTACGTTTACACAACAAGTATTAACAGCTGCATCATTTCGCCATTCTAATAAACCGGGAGTGATCTCCTCTAAACTTTCTCGAATATTCTTATAAAAAACAACAGGGGATGGGAACTCGGGCTATAGACATGATTTTTAATCAATTTTAAATACTTAAAGTTTTAAAAATAGAATAAAATCTCGTAGACAAATGAATTGCACACCAAGTGAACGCTAAATAAAAGAGTGTTTAATAGTGCGCAATATTATTAGTACTTTAAAAATTTACATTAGTTTTTTGAGAAATCGGAAGTAGCGTAAATTACTACTTCCGGTCAATGGAAATTACTCAAAATTTAACAGAAGGTAGAGAATTAGATCTTTAACTTATGTGTGAAATTTCATTTATCTATGTGAAATAATACTCAAGTTATAGGCTTTTTAAAAATTCAAAGTAGAAAAAGTACCACTTCCGGTTCTCGGAAATCGCTCAAAAGTTGATACGGATCTACGATTTTGATAAACTACTTATATATGAAATTTCATCAACCTAGCTGTAACGGTACTCAAGTAATCGTGTTTACACACGGACAGACACACAGACACACACACACACAGACATACGGACAGAGTTGCAAAGCCCAGTTTTTCAGACTGGATTACACACAAAACCTCTTAATTTTGATACATCTGGATTGATAATTTTTGCCCGATTAAAATAAGTCCTCTATACTTCGGATGTGATGAAGGACTGAGGTGTAATACGGTGAAAATTGTTAAAATTTCAAGTGATTTTTGTGCACGATTACAATACTTTCTCTATACTTCGTATATACGAGAAAGTAAAAATAACAATTACGATGCAATGCGATGTTTAAAAAACATTTACGGTTGGTACCACTTGATAAGAGGGGTGTTAAGTTTGAATCCACGGTATAATGTATTTGCTTACGAATAATTGAATTAGAAAATGTTATACATAAAACTTCACACATAATTACTTTATATATACAGTTTGAATCGTGTGATTAATTTTTAAAAAATTACAGAAATACAGAAACAAATACAACTGATGTGGTACCTCTATTTAAATTTACTTATGGGCAAACTGCGTAGCGGTGGGGAAATTTTGACAAAGCCAACAACGTCATCACGATTAAGAAGTAGTATTATGACAG